TTTACCAAAGCAATCTTACTTCCAAGTACATGGATTTTATCAATTAAATACATAAACTATGATTAATCAAATATGTTATGCCACAAAGCACTTTTAATAAAATTGAGAGTCATCACATAACTACTAATAATGATTCAATAGAATTATTCCAATCTTAGTTTCCCATCATATAGTGGGAAACTAACATTGGAATATATTGGTTGAGAATTTCTATATTTATACTCAAGGGCACTGTTTTAGTAAAAATTAGTTATAAAAGACTTAAGTATAAAATATGTTGATGAGTGAATACTACAATTTATACTGATAATAATGACAAGTTATGTACTAATTTTAAGTTACAGCTGAAAATAGTCGAGTGGTAGATAGACCAGTTGGCTGGTGCATGACCATGAGGGTTCGAGTTGTTATAAGTACCTTGAAGTTGCCGCTGAAAGATCGTGTAAAAATATTAGCAAAAATAGATCCGAGTTTATTGATGATGCCATTAGAATGGATATCTTCAGACTAAATCAATAGTCTTTAAATACCAGGAGACTTTGAGTCTTACTTTCTTGAGTTCAAACCACTTGAGGCTCGTGAGAATGATCTGAATAGTGCAATATGTTTATGGTAGTAAAAGTGGTGAATGGTCCCAAGTATCTCGTTTACAAGAGGTATGATCTAACCATCAGCCACGGGACAGTTGTGGCATAACATAATAAATAGAAACAACTCGGTTGATGAGTTGAAATATCAAGAGTTAATGCTCGCTTGTTAGTTTGACAAATTGTGAAGTTACAATTAAGAACCTACACAGTAATCCTTATTATTTATCTCATATATATGTAATTGTCTTCCATACAAATGATAAGTCTCTCTCAAAGCAAGTCATCGTAACCATATTTGATTTGTATTAATTAATTGATCAAATAAGTTTACCTCAATTCAATACAATCTATGTTACCTCCTGCATTGAATAAACGTACCCTTATATCTTAACATCTTCTATTGAACAAGATACCGTTAATTGAATGCATTCATCTTATTCAATACTAAACTGTTGTTACAAATCAGGATTCCTATCATGTACTGAGTATTGATTGGACCGAAGTATATTGGGGCTTATTATAATGTATGTTGTAGAAACCAGATCCAATAGAATACATATAGGAAAGTCTGTATCTATACATTCTGCCTTGCACGTATACAGGTACAAATATCATACCTGTTCTTCAATTGATTTTTAAAAATTAATTTGTGGATTTTATAACTGCATGTTCATTTCATGAATTTTTTGATGCACAGTTAATTCACAAAAAGTCTCTTTATTTCAACCTATTTCAAAAGAGTTTCATAGAGTTGAAGTACAAGTAATAATAAAATTGAAATTATGAATAAAATGGTGACTCATTATGAAAATTATAGAGAAATGACACAGTGCTTTATTGTGAATGATATACACCTCCAGACTATTGTACTATTAAAATTAAACGGTGCTTTGCCAGATCATTTCTATTTGAGTAAATTAACTCATACACAATATGTTGATTAAGGGATAGAGAGATGTAATTACCAACGAAGGCCTGAGTTTCATTGAATATCAAGGTTAAGTTTACCTCCAAAGAACATTCCTTTCAAATACAATCATGTTAAATATGAAACAGAAGAGTTATGAGAGTTTATTAACAGAGAGCTTAAGTCATGAAAGTCACTCGGAAAGTGAATATTCAGATATTTGACACCAAGGTACAGGAAAACATTCATTTTAGGGCAAGGTCAAAAGTATAAAAATTAATTTGTGATTTAGTTCTTCACTGCAAGGTGCCTTGAGCCGATTCTAGATTCACTGCAAGGTGCCTTGAGCTGATTCTAGATCTGTGTGAATCTGGTAATTTGCAGGATATAATTTTATAAATGCAGAAAGAACGGAACCTCTAGTAATTTAGTCCTCTTTAAGTATGACATTATGGGGATTTTCTCAATTCCCAAGCAACTCAATAATAGGACTAATCTTACAATATTTGATATCCATAATCTGGCCGACTTACATCTTTACATATATATAAATTCAATCTCCAAAAATAGATATTGGGAAATATAGAGGGGGATAATAGCTCCATGTACATGTTTATATAATGCCAAAGAGTCCGAAGAGAACCTCTCAAATTATCCAATTTCGGCAAAACAAAAATGACAAAAATGAAGAAAAAAATATGAATTTGGCATACTTATTTAATGTAGCACATTGTAAAATCCTGAACAACTGTGGGTTCAATTATCTGGGTCTACTTGACCGAAAAATAAAATGCACAGGTAATCAGGTTCTATCAAGATGAATTACTCTTCTCTCATTTTGAAATATTTTCTAGGCTCCAATGATTAATAGAAACGAAAATACATAACACCTGCAACAGTAAAATCTGTATATGTGAAGACCTCTCTAAAGTGAACATCTCTAAATTTGGAGGTCTTTTCAGTGACTTTTACTATGTTATTAGGACCTCTCATTGTGAACACCTCTCAATATGAACACTTTCTGCTAATCACAGCAATGATTTAACATACTTCTAGGATAGGCTAACTTAGCATAACCAACTACCAGCTGATAATGTTAAGTTGGGGATGATGCCAAACATACATCTTCGATATTGAACTGTTAAAAAATCCAAAATTGGCACATTTCCTACCCTCTTTCCAAACTGATATAATATGATGCCTACTTTGTTAATATCAGACACTACATTCCATAGAAGCAGCATTCACGTAAAACGGACTGAGCAATGACCTGAACATTTCTACTTCTAAGGTCAGGAACTGTTTTAAATCAGAAAGATTAACGAGATCCAAGCAAACGTTTGATTTAGGCAAGATGCTCTGCCATTGACCTCACTGCACTAAGCATCAGACAGAAAACCTGTGTAATAGAGCCCTTTACAAGATACTGTATATTCACCTGTAAATAAGAGATCTCTACAAGAGCTACCTATCAACAGCTGGTCATGAAGTTCTCTGTTACAGACTATCATAGCCTCACAGTTCATTCAAGTTTTTCAAATGTACTGGTTCCGTCAGAAAGGCTTTAGAACATTTCTGCAATCGTTAGAATACTGGACAAGTATATAATATTTCTTGTGATATAAATAATAACTTGTCTTGCCTACACTGCTAAAAATAAAATACGACAACAAAAAAACATGACTTAGTTTTGTAAAAAAAAATTGAGGCCAAGAGACAGATAACATGATCCAGTTCTAAGATGAGTAAACAACCATCAATTTGCCTTGCTTACTCCTACATGAACAAGGATACAGTGATAATATCAAGAAAGAATATTTGCTTTGTCATTCAGTATTATGTTTCTATTCTGTAACTAAGTACAAAATACATTTTCAAAATGAGGCCCCTTATGGGGAAATACCAAATGGGTATCTTAGGTCATCTGACCTGGGTTCAACCAATCTTGATGTATCATGATACCCTTAAAGTATACAGATGTATCGTGATACCCCTAATGTATATGTTCATTTTCAATCAATTTTGATGTATCATGATACCCCTAATGTATATGTTCATTTTCAATCAATTTTGATGTATCATGATACCCCTAATGTATATGTTCATTTTCAATCAATTTTGATGTATCATGATACCCCTAATATATATGTTCATTTTCAATCAATTTTGATGTATCATGATACCCCTAATGTATATGTTCATTTTTAATCAATTTTGATGTATCATGATACCCCTAATGTATATGTTCATTTTCAATCAATTTTGATGTATCATGATACCCCTAATATATATGTTCATTTTCAATCAATTTTGATGTATCATGATACCCCTAATGTATATGTTCATTTTCAATCAATTTTGATGTATCATGATACCCCTAATGTATATGTTCATTTTCAATCAATTTTGATGTATCATGATACCCCTAATATATGTTCATTTTCAACCAATTTTGATGTATCATGATACCCCTAATGTATATGTTCATTTTCAATCAATCATCTGAGAAGGATCCATAAGGTAAACATTGACAATAACAATAAGACATATGATAAGAAAATGAAACCATTCAATACAATCACAGTTCTTTTTCGAGTTCTGATTTCACCTCTCAGAGTGCCAATAGCAGATAATAATGAGATAAGGATGTGATAACAAGCCTAGAGTGGCTGATAGTCATTGAATTCTACAGTAAAGCAGTTATCAGTTACATTGTAATTGACAACATTAAATATTCTTTGGTAAAACCTGTCAAGTTTAAACAATACAAGGACCTGCCAAAAGTGTTCAGTTTGGCAAGTGTTCACATTCCAAGTTTTTTTAACATGGGAATATATGGCAGATTAAAGTTGGACTTCAAAGGTGTTCACATTGAGAGGTGTTTAGATTTGAGAGTTGCTCAGATATAGAGGTTTTACTGTATATATGTATTCACAAATTTGTGTAGTGACAAAATCAAGAGCTTTAGATGACTCAGAGAGTTGATGTAAGATTATCAAATGCAAGAATTTCATCATCTTAATTTCTCTATTTATGTGAATACATGACTTTTGACATATCAGTATACAGATCCTGACCTTTACTTTACATTATTTAATAGCTAATAAAAGTGCTTTGTGATCATTAAAATAAACTGAAGAGTTACTTCAAACTAGCCTCACCTAGATATCATCAAAATCATGAAACAAATAAGTGTTTTGATGTCTTGTTTGCCCACATAAACCCCAATAAATTTTATTTATGGTCAGACCTGGTTTTATAACAGCAATTTAGGCTACAAGTAAATGCTTTCACTTTTATAAATCATCAATTTCAACCTTACTCCCATCCTTTTGTAATTATTCAGTTATTTGCCAACTACAACAGGTGCGAAAGGTTAATATATACAGAAAAGAAGTCTGTTAATTGGGCCACTTGAAAAACATGGTATTGTACAGTAAAACGTAGAATATCAAATACTATTTGGTTGGGAGTATATATTCCTGGCAACAGCCCAATCAGTTCATGTGTTACCAAGTTTCTCTGTTCAGGTATTGTAAGTTCAGGTAATCATCAGACACTGACCTTACTGGGTGACCACTTGTTTTCCAAGTCAAGGCTAAGGTATTTTAAATCTATGTTAAGCATTTTCTTTCTGTAGAGGGATGACAGCCCAATGTTTTCCTTTTTTATATCATTAAAATGTGAAAATAATACTGTCATTATATGTACTAAATATGAAACTGCTAGAATAAGATGCACAATGCGTAGCTTAAAAGAGATACAGGACATGTTAAACACTAGATCTAATTTTCCTGGCCTCAACAACCCAGAAATTCTGATTACATCAACTGGATATAGGAAACAATAAATCACTTGTCATCATGACCTATTTAACTGTAGATGTGAAATAAACACAAGAAAAAGAAAAATTGATCTTAATCCTTGGTACAGACAACAATCCCTTGAGGGGGAGTTTGAATAAATATTCTGAGATTTCAGTTAAAGCTAAGAATAGGTATATGATGAATCAATCTTGGATGTATCTACGTCATGTTCTGCATCCTTGAGTGGTATACATTTCACTGAAGCTGTGGTGTATTAAAACCATACAATTGTAGGTATATAGATTTCCTGATTTCCTAGCACATGTAAATTCTAGTGGTTGATCTAGGTATGACCTCATGTTCGTTTCCTCCTCCAGTTGAAGACATATGTAGGATGAACATATCATAGTTATGTAGCAATGGTTGTGATATATGGTTCATGTCACCCTACCCCATCCTTTTTTCCATTGATTTTACCGTTAACTAAGTCTAAGTAAGAAGTCTGTACTGGTTTGTGTAAAGCTAGTTGGGCCTTAGCATCTGCAAAACTGAACCATTTTCTTTGTCGCCCTGAAAGTACAAAAATAAAAGTTCAAATAAAGTTAATGTATAGACATTTTGTTTTACAGAGTGTCCTGCACAGGATATTTTTCTCAACTAATTGCAATGTTGTCATTTTACTTATTTCAACAAAGAAATGTCCAGAAATTTTCAAATCATTCCTTTTCGAAATTTTCAACTGGCGAGATAGATTCTCATATCTATGAAACATTGCATTTTATTTTCATTCTCAAAAACATTTATGCATATATACAGGGTGACACAAAATATGCAACCAACATAATGTTGCATGACTTTTTTGTTTGCAAGAATACCAATTTTTCTGTAGCACATTAAAATTATACTTCATGAAGCAACTCTCTGAGAAGTTTCAGATGAGTAGCCAAACTAGATGCACTTTTATGAGCGTTACAAGATGTGCCCTTTATGACGTCCATTCCTTTATAGGCACACCTCTGGCTTCTATGGGCAAAGTTATTAACCACATTCGTCCGGCATGAACCCTCCCGATTTTTGTCTCTGGGGGTACTTGAGGGATCATGTGTAGCAAACAATGAAATATATTTAGAGGGAATATCCATGAGGGTTTACCCTGAGTGTCATATCAAACTGTTGGAAAGGTAAATGAGAGTTTTTACTTCAAATTCCTCACAAGTCAAAAGAGCAATCAACCAACACTCAGAATCTGGCATTTTGAGGAGTACCATAAAATGAATTCCATATGCAGGTGACATTTAAACCATTGACAGCTTGAAGAGTTTCAAAAGGATTCATCTAATATTTGTATCTAAGTTTATACAAGTAGATAAGGCTGAAAGGGCACCCAGGTATCATCCAGGGATTAATAAAAGACTGAGCCTGTATACATATTAATAACAATATCTTATTTTTCACTGGTACTGCACTCAATTACACTGTATTTGTTTTGGTAACAGGATGGCCATGGTTCCAGTTGGAAAGTTTGGTAAAAATTTTCTTTTTCATCGATTTTTTGAGCTATACAGCATAAAGCATCCCAACCGTTTCGGCACAAACATGCATAAGCATCATGTTTCTGGAAGTCCCAGTGAATTTGCACATAATAGTTCTTGGGATGACAGAATCGTCCATATAATTCCTCACTTTTGCTACGTCAACAGAACGTCTAAAACGGTTAAGATCTGCACTTTTAAGCCATTTAACAGTGAGGTATAAAATCAACGCTATTTTGTAAATGTGTAGATATCAACACACATTTGCAATAAAAATATCTTGGGAACTCTGCTTACAACTCATGAAATAAGAAAAAAAGAAAAATCGGACCTTCAAGGTTCCGACATTTTGTTACCGAAACAGATCTGTTTTGGTAACTAGTTTGAAGAGTGCAGCACCAGTGATTTTTATGTATATACCTTTACCAAGATAAACAGAAAAGTTAATAAACAAAACATATTTTGACAGCTGAAAGAGGAATGAACTAATTTGCTACAAGGTAAATATAATATAAAGTAGCAAGTTTCACCGAAATAATAATATTTGTCTGTTTCTTCAAAACGAAAAAATTGCGATTGCAAATTGTCCAATTGAATTACCTGCTCCCGTCACTTGACAGGGATTCCCCTAGATGGATAATCAATTGTGTTCATTCTGACAAATGGTTGTTTGTTTGATTATTTCAATATATCTACAATAATACACCCACAAATTGGTCTCAAAATATATATAAGGTATATGAGATATTATATAAGCAATTATAATGGGACATCATTGATCGGCTGCCATGCCATAGGGAAACCTATGGTATAATGCATCATTAAATGAATCTGCAATAATTGTGATTCATTAGTGAGCTATAAGAGTAATATGTGTTGCACTTAGTGGCGTAACAACATTTACAGTATCAATCAGAAATTCACTTGAAAGTGGAAAAAGAGAAATTCTGGCAGATCTAAGTGATATATTAATAGTTGCTTGATATCAATCAAGAAAGGCTATTCAATGTTGATTAACTGAGATGAGAATTACTGAACTATTCCAATCAACATTGCTCATCCCCCTAAGACATTTTCCAAGATCTCATATCTGTTAGGACAGCCCAAATGTATCAACTGCTGTTTTTAGAATTATCATTTTTCATTGGACTTGATTTGATAATGTTTTGATAACACCTCGTCCTGTACATCTATAATTTACAAGAGAACCAATACAGTTTTATATTATAAGACTACGAGAATGTGCCATTAAGTGCAAACATGTGTATTCATTGAAATATGACAATATGGAAGATGATTCATATTTTTTATATTTATCAACCTAACAACATATTTGAAGAGATACCCAAATCAATACAATCAACATTCTGACAGTGCTATAACTTAACTGTTATTATATGAAAATCAGATTCAATTTATCTTAAGGTTATCTTATCTGTGTAAATGTGCTTACAACAGGACACAGTGTGAAAAATATTGCACCAATGAGTAGTTATTGGTTGCTTTTAAAAATTAGTACATCCTTCCAATTAAAAAAGTTTCAAAGAAAGAAACTTCTCTGAGTATTTGCTATCAATTCCTCAGTTTGCCTGGAAATGCATAGACAAGAATTTGGACCTCACCTGGAAAACTAATTACAATAAGGAACCAAAGGATGACACAAGTGTTTTCAAAAATGTGCCCTAACTGTATTTTCTTTATTTTTTAGTTCTAGAGACATATAAATAAGCAAAAGGTCAGGTAGTAAGTAACTGTTGTAATCTTTGGAACACTTTTATTGTTATCAACAACACCTTTCTGTACTGAGAGACCTTATAACAGTAGTATAGATAAAGGGGTCATTTACAAAAGCAGAACATCCACATTAAGGGGCCACATCAAACCCACTAAATTGATTTTGTTTTCACATAACTGTATCCTTTCTTCCAAGAAATATATCATTAGAAAATCAATGATATCCACTGAATTACATTGTCGCTTTCCACTGGGTCTAAAGAACAACTGAAATCTTATGAATGAAGATGCTGAATTAAGCAAATAACTTGAAGCGACCCACTGGCAAACAGTCATTTACTGGTACTTCTTCTATTACCTGTTTAAGTTACTTTAAGTTAAATATCCATTTCAGGACGGGACATTCAGGACGGGATATAACCAATAAAATAGTTAATAACTTTAAACTCGTTATCTGAGATTAATTTTAAGTTGTACTTTTATTGCCAATAAAGTTCTTTGTTATTGTTTGAATTAAAGCATATTTCAAAGGAAAACAATTGTTATCTATGAAACTACATGTTCTGTCCTGAATTTTCGTTTAATAATATAACTAAATAGTAATTGCCACTAGATGGCGTTTACGCATTAACGTAATCTGGCAGATTAGTTATAAATACGAAAGACTCTAGTCTAGATCATATTCATCATGCATACAGGAGAAAAAATAATATATTCTGAACATGGAACAAAAAAATTCGAAACACAGGGGTTGTCCCGTCCGACAATATCGGGAAACTGTGACATCCCTAGTTTCCAGGTGCAAGATTGATCCTAAATTGATATAACCCTTCTCTATGCTTATGTATCGTATTGTCTATTTTTGCACTGTATAAAACACAGGTAACCTAAGACCATGAGTTATAAATACATATTGATATTTCAATCTGATCCTTAGGTATAATATGGAACTAAAACTCTTGTAAATACAAATACATCTCATAGTCTCATCTTATGGTTGATGCCCTATTATTATGTAGCAGTACATGTAGTAGTAGTACAGGCCCGTAGCCAGGATTTGCCAAGGGGGGGTTCAATTTTCAAAAATTTCCAGGGGGGGTTCACATTTGACAATTTTGGCCCAAATAAGGCTAAAATCACTAGAGAAGTGCTCAAAATGGTCAAAAACTGCATGATTTTGAAAGAATTTTTGGCCAGGGGGGGGGGTTCGCCCGAACCCTGCAAACCCCCCCTGGCTACGGGCCTGTAGTAGTCAGTAAAGGTATGTAACATTGTTAATTGTTTTTATGATATGACAAGATAAGCTTTTGATTTAATTTATGAATAGGAAGTAAGAATCTAGGGTGATTTAGAGGATAGAAAAGTTGAGCTAATAGATAAAAAAATCCATATAAATTGAGAAGATATGGTTAACAAAACTAAATAAAAAAACAGTAGTAAATCCAAAGGGAACAAAACATTTTTCATCAAATCATCTATCATTTAGATCATTAGATTATATAGAAATATCCAGGCAGTAATACAGTTCTGCTGTCAATTCAAACCTACAATATGGTGATGACACCAAATAATATTTTGAATTAAGCTGCCAAAATAAAAATTCCTTCTTGAGAAGAGGTCCTTTGGACATAATGCGCAGCATCAGCCTATAAAATTTGAATCCAATCTGTTGGACAAATGCACAGACAACAGGATGGAAAATTCATTGCAAAACATTGAATTGAATTCATTATTTCAACACACAAATACAAACAATTCACATTTCATCGCAATATTCCAACATTTCATCAGGTTACATGTATTTTGAAATAGGAAATGTACATTTACAGTATTTCTATCCAATGAGAGATGTATTCCACAAATCAAAACAAAAGGCCAAAAAATATAGAATGATATGATTCCTCTGGTGTATTCTTGAACCTAGCTTTTACCAGGTTCTTTTAAGGACATTTTGTGAGGATGATGGTAACATATGAGGACATATCCATACATATTCCAGATATTGATTTCTAAGAATGATAACATTATATTATCTTTGGGACTAGATAAACTGAGAATATTAAAGGGTCCTGTTTTCAATAAAACGACTTTTTTAAATAACAGGTCTTATTTTCATTAAACTTAAAGGGCCCTATATTCAATAAAGGGATCATACATACTAGTAAATGATGATGTCAATGAATATTTATTATAATAATGACACTAATCTGACAGTTTCTTTTCTTGCATTTTCATAGTCTAAAATGTTCTGAATGATACAAGCATTTGAAGTTATATGGATGTAGCAATGCGCTGTGAGATACA